TAAAACAATTAAATGAAACCAAAACTAAATGAATTTAAATATTAATTTTTTAACACAGGTAATTAAAAAAAACTGATGTGGTACTTTATAGTTTTGTGTTACCTATGAAAATTTTACAGGTTGTTAAAATGTTTTCAAAACTGATTTAAATGAAAATTTCAAGTTAATTTATCAACAACCCTACATAATTTTCATTTTAATTTTTAAAAAAAAATCCCATTTAGATTTTAAATAAAAACTTGTACCTAACCAACACTACTTTTTTACAGTATGCTGTATGAGTTTTTAGTACTTGTTTTATAAAATACTATTTTAATAATTTTAACGTTACCCAATGCGACACTTAATTTTATAGTCCAAGAAATTTAAACAAACAAATAGTAGACTTTTAATTTTCTTACATTTCCACGACCCGAGGTTAACGGCCAAGTATAGAGCACAGGTTCTGCCCCAGCAGGAGAATGCAGTTTCAGTTCCATCGCACTATTTTAAATTACTAGCACATAGTCAAAGATTTATATTTCGGTTACTAATCATATACACAAAACAAATTTAATTAAATTAGCATTTTTTTGTTTATAATTGCAACTTCACACAGCAATAACACGCCATCTCCGAGCGTTCTACTTGCGCACGCATTCCGTCATCTCCTCTGCTAATCGTAAGTAGTGTCAACGACCATCAACGTAACAGGCCAACAACCATGCACCAACCCTATCTATGGCACCAACCGTATACCAAAACGGAGGCAAAATTTATTTGAGCGCCATCAATATCTATTTTCTTTGATTTGATTTTAATTTAAGATAAATAAAAGCATAAAACTAAAAAATAAACTTANTATCGATGATGTTATTACAAATGAATTAGGTATTTCCATAAAATTACGACTTCATGTCGTGTGCAGGTATTCTTTATATGTATAATGTGAAAATCTATGTCAACGAATTCGCTGATGTGGGTGATCTAGTAATGGTAGTAAAATTAAAAAAACTCACCGTCTTCATTTTTACGAGACTTCTGTTCTAAGGATTCGTCAATAACAGGAGTCGGTGTATTCGAATGCAGCTCCTGGGGAACGTCCATGAAAACTGCGTTCCTCTTTATTAGATTGCGTATAGGACCTTGAATAACGACAGACTCGATCTGTTTACCGTACTGGCAATCGCTGGTCCTTTGCTCGACTTTTATACTCGACTGTTCTTGAAAATTAGATACATTATTTGATACCATAAATCCTCGTCGGTCATATACACCACTACGGTCATCAATTTCTTCTTTGATATGTTGACTTTTTAAAACACCTGCTTGGAGACTTGCTGCAAGACCTTCTGCCACAAAGCCGTATCTTTCGCTTTCAGAAGGTTTTACTTCGTTGAAGTATGACTCGTGATAGGGCTTAATATCAGCTCTTGGGAGGGGAGTGTACTGATCATTTTGAGAATACGTTCCTGAAGTACTTTGCCTCGATTGAGTTGGATACAGTACTGTGGTTCGAGGTGAAAACTGGGCTTGAACGGTCGACGATTGTATCGAAGACGGTTCGTATATATTGGATTGTGGATTAATCTTGGCATGGGAATGCATATAAGCTAGTCCTGAAAACAAAAACAATATACATACAGATATATTTTAAGTTAGATTCTTTTCACCTTCAAGACCTTCTGAAGAAGATGGTCTAGAAATGGGACTATAAACTTGTCTCATTAGCGGTTCAGTTTCTTTGCTGCATGGTATTGTTAGTTCTGTGTTAGGTTTCGCGTTGGTTCTTTCGGGACGTGGGGGAATATTGGAATTGACCATAGATCTAGGAGTAAGAGTGGTAGTACCTTGAATGTCACTCATATCAACGGCAGCATTAATTATTGACTGATTTGATATTTCTAACGTTCGTTCTATCTCTCCAGATACAAGATCACCTATTGTCCTTGTCGCGACTAGTCCGTCTGAATGGTTGAAATTAGAATACTGTGAAGCTAATTTCTCTTGAGATAAATGACGTCGAAGGGCCAGCTTCGCAGGGGAAACTTGAGTATAATCAGGTTGTTCTGTAGTCAGTGTTCTCTGTTGCTGATGCTGCTGAGGAATTCCCAATGTATCTTGCTCGCGAAAATTATTAATAGGTGGATGGTGATGATAACGGTCCGTTTGAGATCTTGGCTCCTCAAGAGAACGCGTAGGTTCGCAACGAAAATATTTGTTAAACTTGATTTTATCGTCTTCTTTTGGTGCATACTGATTGCAAAAATTATTCTGATAGTTGCATGATTGTGGATTTTGTTGATTTAATGCTGGAAATTGAGTGAACGTTGAACTTTGCGATTTTGTACGATTTTGTTGATCTTCATTTAGAACGGATGTTATGATGATTTTTAAACGATCTTCGAAATTTGAAACTTTTGGTGTTTCTTGAACGCGTGAGGACGAGTTGTTTGAATGCTTAATTCGTTTTGGAGCTGGAAGAGGAGCAGGCATATTGCTCCTAACAACTCCCTTTTGATTAGGTGATGACTGATACGTTTTCAAACCGTTAGAAATTTGTTGTATTACCTTATTTGAAATTTTACTCGCTTCAATCTTCCTTCCCGTTTCCAGTATCTTCTGGGCCAAAATTTCAGGATTCTGTTCTTCAATTTTTCCAATGTCTGGTACATCAGGCCATTCTTGTGAACGAGCTCTATACTCTCGGGGTTTTCTGGATATTTTCAATGGTTGCTGATTCTGTCTCATGTTCAACGTTGCCTGTGCTTGCTTTCGATCATCGTGAGTTTTCTCTAAACTTAGCAGTTCTCCCTCTAAACGCGACACTTGATTATGGAGCTTTTTGCGACGAGCTAACGTTGACGATATCTCCCTCAAAATAAATTCTTGGGCAGCATGTGGCGGCATTTCATGATTAGAATCTTGTTTGAAATATTTTTCACAAATTTCTTGCTGTCTTTGCAGAACCAAATGATTCTTTTCTTGTTCAAGTTGAGCAAACTGAATCTGTAATTTACTTGCTTTCGCTTGTAACTCTTTATGGCGACAGACAATTTCCTTTGCTTTAGCTAATAAATCTACTGGTGAAGTAGCGTTAATGCCCAACTCGCTCATTCTGGCTTTTAGTAATGCTACACTGTCATCTATCAGAACCTTTATTTGTTTATCTAATTGTGCTGCTCGGTTTTGAAGTCGTTGATTCTTTTCCTGAAAGTTTACAATTATTAGTTTGTTTATAATTATATTATATTTATAATCATACTTTTTCGTGTTTTATGTCATTTTCAACGGAAACTTTGTACTGTGGCTTCTTCATGTGACCAATCATGTTCATGTATTGTTCTCTAAACATATCCATAAGAATTTGTAAGGCATACGGTGTGGATTCGGGGGACTGAGGAATATCCAGTTCATTATGAACTAGCTCTGTACTTAGAGCTGTAAGCTGTTGGTCAACACATCCTGGAGCTGGAGGCAACTTTTTCCCTGCGTAATTTATAAAATTAGTCATAGATTCGATTAAATTCTACCAGTCTACCAGTACCTTGAGGAGATGTACTCAATAAAGTTTGACTGTGAAGTAAGTCCAAGCCGTTAATTTTGATTGTTTTCTTTGTTTTTCCACGTCTAACTCTCCCTCGTCGAGGTTTCCCTGGATTTTTCTTTAAGCCCTGGTTGTTATTATTACCTTGAGTCTTTCCGTTCTTTTGAATCTTGCGTCGTAACTTCTTCGACTGTCTTTTAGCCTGTGAAAAAAATTACCAACGTAAGTATTACTAGCTATGTACTATACGTTGTGTAAATAACATGAAATTAAAGAACTGACCTTTCCGTTTGACTCTTCTTCAGACTGACTACTTTTTCCTTTATTAGAACACCAATCGGACCAAGCCCGCCGAGTAGTTGGGCCATAATTGCTGTCGCGATCATCTGAATCTGAATCTGAAGAAGAATCATTCATTTGTTTCGAAAGATCTCTCTTGGCCCTTTCCCTCGACGCTCTTTGTGGAGCGGAATCCTTATCGTCCTTTTCATCATTAGAACCCTATAGTTCAATAGTTTGATCACGGAATGTAATTCTTAGTCATAATTAAGTAAACGTAATTTCGAAAATATGTTCAAAAAAAGACAAAAAATCAAATATTCTACTTTCTTACCATCATTGGGGTTTATTGTACAAATATGTATGTTAAAAGTACTTATACATGATTTCAATATAACATCATATTCATATACAGGTAAGACAAAAAGTTCACCGAAAATAGAAATGTCTCATACTAAGTATACGAAGTGTTTACAATCTAACGGATGTAATATAATATCACAGACACAACGTTAATCTAATTAATAATAATAAAGAAAGGGTACTCTTTAACGAATATAATAAACGTTGCGTCTTTGATAGTTATTAATCAAGTTTAAATAAAATACCTTAATTTTAGGATGCTTCAGTCTTTGAAAATAACGTTCTAGTTTGGTTCTATCAATAAGATGGAGATAATATGAGACTGGCTTTCCCGTCCAAGAAACTGACCCACGAAGAGGTGACATCTCTGAAACGTGCATGATAGTGCCTATATCGCTCAAATTACGATCGGTAATTCGAAAATTTAAAGGGCAAAAACTTTTTGACGAAACAATCCTAGCTCCATCCTTTAAATCGGCAAACCGTTCTTTTAACTGATGATCGACAGATGGGCCAAATGCAAAATTATTCACGAAAACTATCGTTGCTGACGTTATTTTCTCGCGAAACTCCTCCATAAGGAAATCACCCTTGATTAATTTATAATCTCCAAATTTTTTACCATACCATTGCATCCATGCTCTAAAGTTCTTATTCATTGCCTTTAAAATTGAACAAAAACACAGTGCAGTGCATAAAATTCTACATGTTACATTCTACTTTACCTCTGCATATTTACTGGGAACTTCAGCTCGTTCGATTCCAAGACAAATTTTACAAGGTGTAGCTGCAGCAACCTGTAAAACTACCTGACCTACACCTGAACCCAAATCAATAAATATATCATCTGTTGATATTTCAATCTGATCAATCATCTGACAAACTAAATCATAACTTGTTTCCCCATAGACCTAATCAAACAACAAAACAACATCAAAAAACTGAATACCCAGTCAAATAAAAAATCTTACTTCTGGAGAAAATGGTTCATACTGATTTAATTTTTCTGGGTCAGTGACTGCTTGATTGTAAGTTTGCTGAAGAATGTGGCGAAGTAAACCTCTAGATGGATATTTATTTAATCTTTGAGCTGGTAAAGAGGTACCCTTTTCCTATTAATTGATCATAACATGTTATTCAAATGGACATCTTGATAATAACAATAAGACAACTTACTAAAGCCACAACACTGTCGATGGCACGATTAAACCTATCACATAAATTTTTCATACTTTCATAACTTTTGGTGTCATAATCACATAATATATTATTTTCTAATGGCAGTTTTAGTTCAGGAAGGTCCTCACAAACCCACCTGTGGAAAAGAACAAAGTAATGATAAACATTTAACTTAATTCAGGACCAATCTTATTATAAGGTAGTCTTGTTCATACACATATGTATATGTACCCACTCAACATCTTCCCACTTTCCCAACAATATTCTTGTTGTTATAAATTTTGTTTATTCATATGAAAAGTATTGCTTAAGCTTTTATGGGTGTATTCTTGATGAAATATTTTTAATAAGGAAAACAAATTAATTAATTTGTTGAAAAGTTCTTCTTGTGTTTTCCTTATTAAAAGCATTACCTCCTATAAGTAATAATTTCACTGTAAGAAACGAAGAGTTGTATAAATACAATTATAACAAGTATACAAGTTGAATATCTATTAACCCTTATTTCTGTTAAGTTATTAACATATTTATATTAGGTACATATTTACCGTATGGTCTCAACAATTTCAAGGGCACCATCATGTTTGTCCTGTAATAATAAAACCATTGCAACATAAAGAACACAGTTCAGATCAACAGAAGTTAAACTACGGTAACTAATTAATAATGTGAAAACAAATGAAAGATAAAACAATTAAATGAAANTAATTAAAATATATTGTAATTAAAAAGTAATACTTTTGCTGCAAATTATTTGGACACATTAACAAAAAGAAACAGCACAGTCCACAGTGACATTATGGTAAAATTAAATTAACTATTCTATGTATTTGTATTAAGACTGGAACTAAATGGAAATCGTCGTCGGTTGACATGGGAAGCTATGCCGCGATCAAGCCATGAAGGTGTAACTTCTGCAATATTGGGGTCGGATTGTTTGGTGTTTGATACATCAATTGCGCAACTTTTTGCAGATAATGGTAATTTAGGTATTAATGTTACCATATCTGTAGTCTGCTGAGTTTTTGTTAATAATCGTGAATTTGTTCATTTTGTTATTTTCTCATTAAATTATAATTCATCTTTTTTCATGATCACACATATAACTAATTACAGTGGTATTAATAAGTTGTATTTGCTTTCCATTTTCAATATTTTACCCTTTCAAATGATCTGTTGGACATAGACAAGTTTTTTCTTTCAATTGTTGCCTACATTGTTTTAATTCTGTATCATAATGTATGTACTTGAATCTTAACCGAAGCATTTGAAATTATAGACGTTATATGGTATATTAAATGTTTATAATAAATGCTTTTAAAAACTACTTTGCTAAACTGACAAAAAGCACGTTTTGGAAAATATTAATCATTTATAAGTTGTAATGAATTATATTTATAGTTTTAGCAATATCATTGTCTCAAATTAATTGCTAATTAACTTTTGAGTCGCATTCCAGTATTTTAAACAAATTTCTACGATTTTATAAGTACCACATGGTAGATATCAAAACAATTAAATACATGATTAACATTTTCCAAGGGAAAATGCTTGAAAGGAATGAATAGAATGTTTTTATAGGAGGAGTCGTTATACTGTATAAAAATATATTTTTGTAACTACACGTAAATGCTTAGTTAAGATTTAAAATTGCAACCGTCTGTAAAATATATTTTTACTCATATAATTTATTTTGTTTGTGATAAATAGTTAAGGAATTAGTTTTATATTTACGCGGCTATAGGATTTAAGGTTTTCATCATAAGAATAATTGAACACTTCTATTAAATGGTTGTACTATGGAGTCTATGTACTTTATATCTATGGAGTCTATATGCTTAGTATACGTCTATAGATTCCATAGGTTGTACGCTCCATAGATTATACATATATTTATATATATATACTGTCCTCATGCATAGATGACGCAACGCAAAGATATAGCCTGTATCTATTATCTATGGCCTGTATGTCATACATGATTAGCTGGCTTAAGTAGCATATCTATGATTAGTAGTTTTGATTAACTACCGTTGAATGTTATTAGATCCCATCTTTAGGTTGCAGTGCAGTGTAATTTTATTTTGTGGTTTTATTATTCATAAATTAGTCGAAAGTAGTTAATGTAGTGAATATGCCGCTCGAAAATGATCTACCAGACTGACTATGTTGATAGAGTAAACCATGAATAAACATAAGATTTGACAGAAAACTGGGTTTTTCAAGTTCAGGTGGGCGGCCTGTATGACCAAAGATTACATAAACAAAGTAAGAAAAGATATTGGTGTCAATTTTTGTTATGTCTTCAAAAATATACTTAAATTACTTAAACATGTATTAATAAAAGAAAGAAAATGTTGAAATATATCAAAGAGATTTGTATATTTTTTAGAGTCCATCAAGAAGCAGGTGACAGAAATTGAGTTGTATTGAAGTGTTTAGTACTTTAAATACTTTTTAAAATAAACATTCAGTTAAGGTCGGCCTTGTATATTATAAAATGTCCCAAATATTAAATCAAAAAAGAAATAGGGGAAATACCTCTAGCATTGAACCATCAAATAATTCTTCAAATTCTTCAAATAGTGTTCTGTCAGGGATGCCTACCACTACACCAGGTACATTAACAGATGAATTAGCTGCTCTTTTTGAGTGTCCAGTTTGTTTTGAGATTGTATTACCTCCAATAATGCAATGTCAGGTTGGACATTTAGTATGTTCAAGTTGTAGATCAAAACTTTCGTGCTGTCCTACATGCCGTGGCACTTTAGGTAAATAGTTTAAAATACTGCAGTAATTTAAAATTTAATTACAAATTAATTTTAGGAAATATTAGAAATTTAGCAATGGAAAAGGTGGCTAACACTTTAATGTTTCCTTGCAAACATAAATCTACTGGCTGTCGTATGTTTCTGGGATTAAATGAAAAAGCAGAACATGAAGAAGTTTGTGAGTTTCGTCCTTACAGCTGTCCCTGTCCAGGTGCTTCATGTTCATGGCAGGTAATTGTTACTTATAAATAGTAAATAATTAGGCCTGATTAGAGTTATTTCTACTATCTGTTATTTTTAGGGTCAACTGGAAAAAGTGATGGTTCATTTGCAACATGCTCACAAAAATATAACGACCTTAAATGGTGAAGATATTGTATTTCTTGCTACAGATATTAATCTTCCAGGTGCAGTGGATTGGGTTATGATGCAAAGTTGTTTTGGGCATCATTTCATGCTTGTATTGGAGAAACAAGAAAAATGCGATGGTCACACGCAATTTTTTGCCATTGTACAGCTTATTGGTTCAAGAAAACAAGCTGAACATTTTGCATATAGGTAAATGTTTTAATTAAAATATATTGTAATTAAAAAGTAATACTTTTGCTGCAAATTATTTGGACACATTAACAAAAAGAAACAGCACAGTCCACAGTGACATTATGGTAAAATTAAATTAACTATTCTATGTATTTGTATTAAGACTGGAACTAAATGGAAATCGTCGTCGGTTGACATGGGAAGCTATGCCGCGATCAAGCCATGAAGGTGTAACTTCTGCAATATTGGGGTCGGATTGTTTGGTGTTTGATACATCAATTGCGCAACTTTTTGCAGATAATGGTAATTTAGGTATTAATGTTACCATATCTGTAGTCTGCTGAGTTTTTGTTAATAATCGTGAATTTGTTCATTTTGTTATTTTCTCATTAAATTATAATTCATCTTTTTTCATGATCACACATATAACTAATTACAGTGGTATTAATAAGTTGTATTTGCTTTCCATTTTCAATATTTTACCCTTTCAAATGATCTGTTGGACATAGACAAGTTTTTTCTTTCAATTGTTGCCTACATTGTTTTAATTCTGTATCATAATGTATGTACTTGAATCTTAACCGAAGCATTTGAAATTATAGACGTTATATGGTATATTAAATGTTTATAATAAATGCTTTTAAAAACTACTTTGCTAAACTGACAAAAAGCACGTTTTGGAAAATATTAATCATTTATAAGTTGTAATGAATTATATTTATAGTTTTAGCAATATCATTGTCTCAAATTAATTGCTAATTAACTTTTGAGTCGCATTCCAGTATTTTAAACAAATTTCTACGATTTTATAAGTACCACATGGTAGATATCAAAACAATTAAATACATGATTAACATTTTCCAAGGGAAAATGCTTGAAAGGAATGAATAGAATGTTTTTATAGGAGGAGTCGTTATACTGTATAAAAATATATTTTTGTAACTACACGTAAATGCTTAGTTAAGATTTAAAATTGCAACCGTCTGTAAAATATATTTTTACTCATATAATTTATTTTGTTTGTGATAAATAGTTAAGGAATTAGTTTTATATTTACGCGGCTATAGGATTTAAGGTTTTCACTAATAAATAACTGCAGTTTATCTGTTTCATATTATTTTTATTTTAAATAACGTTTATAATTTATTGCCTATAAATTACTACTTGGTCGGCACTTATTATATCTACCATTACAAAAATTGATTTAGATATAATAAATTGACAAAAAAGAAATTAAATTTTTCTAGACTTAGTCTTCTTCTTAGTTGTATTAATACTTTGTACAAATTGTTCGGCATTATTTTCATCTATTACGTTACTATCGGACTGCATCTGATTTCTATATTTATTAAGAATCGAATCCCACAACCCATTTTTAAACAAATCTAATTTGAAAAACTCAAGTAAATGATTAATGTTATACGATACAAACAACATTCCGAAAATAAGTAAGAGCGTCCAAACGGAAGTTTGTTTAATTTGTTGCTCAAAATTCGCTTTTTTAATTTCGAATTCGATCTCTCCATAAACAAATGGTGTGTTTGATACGAACTGAAACGAGAGGGCTTTACTTTTTAGAACAGAGTTTGGAATATTTTCTATTTGTATTGAATATGTTTTATAATCTCTCGGCGCGGATAAATCTTGTATAAGAATCCCTGGATTATGGTCATTATTTATAAGTGTATTTGTAGCATCAACTTTTACTGTTTGAACCACTGCTGGCGGCGTTGATTCTCGTAACAGTTTAACTCGTAATGATTTATAATTCTCTATATCGGTCGTATACAATTTTAGTAAAATGTATGTGTTCACCACTGGACGGAACACAAGAAATTTCAGACCAAACAAGTCGCTGTTCTGCATTTTTATATTTAAAAAATCAGGTATAGCTTGTTCAACAATTTGCTGTTTACTGTCCGACGATATTTGTTTTATTTGAATTGAGTAAGGACAATAAGAATGAAGACCTCGTATCCTAAAATTACCGTTTCCTTCTGACGTTGCTTCTTCTAAGATCGAAGAACAGTTATTCAAACCAGTTCCTATTACATTCAGACCTTCTTCAGGTTCTCCATTGAGGGACAATATTTGACCATACACACTAAATGCAATTCTTTTTCCTTTCAACTGAATATTTATTCTTGCTCCTTCTTTAACTGTTACTATTTTCGAACTTGGTTCAAAGTTATATTCTTTCATCATTGGTCTTAAAAAATAATCAGACGGACTCAAAGATGTAAATCTGATTTTTCCATCTTCCCCCGTTTGAAGATTGCTTCTATAACTGTCACCACCTGACAGTGAGAGTAGAGTTCCCTACAATTACATTTTTGCCTTAATATTAATAAAAAAGGAATCAATATGAAAACTAAACTCAGTTGTAAAACCTTCTCAGTTTAATTAAGTCTTAATGCCGCTTCCTTCTAAGGTAAAATTACTAATTTCAATATAGTTTTAATATTTACTTGTCTCAAAATGTGGAAAAAAAATTATTTCTTGAAATATTAAAAGTATTTGCTTTACTCCGGCGGCTAATTTGATTTCATAACTCGTAAAATTAATTATTGATAATAGATACTTGGAAGTGAGTACCTGCAACGGTAAATTCGTTGACGCATCTAAAACTTCGACAATTACTTCTGCTAATTTATGTGCTACAAAATTCCCATGCTCATCAGGTCCGGTAAATACAAAAGACGTTTTATTTGCAGTTATTTTATACTTTTTTGTATCGTTAAGTGGCGGAAATTTATATTCTCCGTTTTCATTGGTTTCATCGATCAACGATTCGGAATTTTCGGTTTCTATAGTGATCAAAACACCAGTTAGTGGGGGTGTTATTTTTCCTAAAAAAATCATTTACAAAACATAATAGCAAGTAATGTGTTAACATATGATTTACAAATTGTACCTTTAAATACCTTCCCTTTAACTGCTTTAAAAACAGTTCCTAAATCAGTGCAGTCTGCATGACCGTTTATGGATAAAATTGGAGGACTAAAGAAGAAAGACTCAGATTGAGGCAGTAAAATTGCCGTTTCTGAAGGGGCTAATGATAATTCAAAGAGATATTGACCATTTTCGTAAGCGAATGGTTTCTCTTCAATTTTCGTTCTGCCTAAATTGACTATAACAGTTATTTCCCCTATATTTTTATCAGCTTCAATTCCAAAAATTACTCTATGTTTTATTGCGTTAAGATAAATTTCATTTGTGGAGCTATTAACATCAAACGTGTATTTTTCTTCATTATACTTATGGCAGCTATCGTCTACAACGAATTCGTATTTTCCGAATTGAGTAACACAAACAGTTGTTTTCCCTTTGGAAATTTCAACGATAGTTTTTGAATTGTTTCCCACTACATCTCGATAATACAACTACAACAAACATGTATTTACAGCGATTTTAGTACCTCCCTTGTAGATGATACTTTTATCAATTGTGTTTATTCATTTTTACCTGAGTGTCATGAGAAGAAATAAATATAACTTGATAACCCTGCTGTCGGAAATCAGGTACAATTTCATGAACTGTACTTACAGAAATAATGTATTTATTGTGATTCCAACAAAATTTATTTTCACTTAAACTAACTGCATAATTTCCAGGTCTTACATCAGAAACTGTATATACAGAATCTAAAACAAAACAAATCATAAGTGGAAATACTTTAAAAAAAGAAAAAGGAATTAATAGAAGCTTACTTTTCAAATTAACACTCAGTTCTGAATTTGTTTCGTCGTTATTTTTTAAAGGCTTCAAAATAACTTTAAGTGAATCACAATGTTTTTGGATAATACACTTCACTTTTCCAGATATTACTGATTTCATTTGCGAAAATGTTATGCCACTTAAAGGACTTGATGTTACTTCAATTGAATGAATTAAGGGAAAAAACCTAAAGAGTTATTTAAATAGAAACTTTGTTTTTGTCTGTCTTTAATTTTTTTGTAACTTACTGAATTCCGGCATTTTCTTCAACAGCAGAAACTCTGATTTGTAGCTGATATTTTCCAGGTGGCAAGTATCCACAAAATTCTCCGGAACCCGTTTTACTTTCTATAGCAGATATCTTGGATTTGTTTGCATCAAAAATCTCCACAACTTGAGAATTTTTACTCAAAACAGTGCCACAAATTTGATATGCTGATGGCGTTATAACGGGCAAATTTAAGGTATTTGGACTTATATTGATAACTTGATCATCAAATTTTACATCATCTACAAAACCCACTTACAATAGAATAAATTAGATGCTAACAAACAATATTAACCTGCTACAACTTTTAATGTGTAAGTATCTGCTTTAATCTTTTCTAATGTATATAATCCATCTTTTGAAGTTTTCCCAATTTCAATATTATTAAGAAAAATTTTAGCTCCTTCAATTGCTTTTCCATTTTCAGTTGCTAAAATCTTTCCACTTACACTAAACCCAATTATCTAAAACAATAGTAAATTTGCTTTTAATATTATTTCAAGCACTTATACAATACTTTCAATCAATTATAAATTACCTCAAAGGTTTTATTTAAGTCAACACTGTCATGTTCAACAGCAAATTTAACTTTATCTGGAGTGAAATGAATATTCTGCCTTTCATCATATGGAACAACAAAATATTTTCCTGGAGAAACACTTGTAAATGTAAAAACCCCTTCATTATTAGACACCACATGACATAATTGTTTACACTTACAATTAGTGTCTAAATTTCTTAATTCAGTTAAATTGCAGTTTGACACTATTTTTTTAACATTTTCAATCTAAAAGGATATATAATACAAATTTCAACTTTTATTATGTATGAGCAAATCAAACCAACATTTTCGTCTTGGCATAAAACAACTGTTATTCCTTTAACAGGCATCTCTTCACTCTTAATAAAGCCCTTAACATTGTAGCCACCAATGACCAGACTATTACGTGGGATTTCTGTGTTTCCTTCACTAACTTCAACTGTAATCCTGTTTTTAATTACTGTCCATCTAGAATATGCAATATTTATTATATAATAAATTGTAAAAATGATAATACTGTAGAGTAATGTGATAATACTGAAATATAACTTACATTGGATGTGATATTGTAATTGTATATTTCCCTGGCAAAATAGGAGTTAAAAAGAATTCTCCGCCCTTACTGGTGGATGTTTTCCACTCTTGATTACCTGACTGAAAAGTAACTGTTACCCCACTAGGACCACCCTCTTCTAATCCAAGACTTTCAACCTTTAATATTACATGACACATGTAAATATGTTTAATAGGTGTTTATAAACAACTAATACCTTGCCAGTTATACCAAAACCTTTGAATACAAAATTAATATCCTTTCCTTGAGTGCATAAATCTGAAACTCCATCAATTATTAAATTTACTTTTGAAGGAGTAAAACTCCATCCAACAGGCGGATCAAGCTAAAAAATTACAATTTATTACTTTGGTTTCATATAATTAATTCATTCAACCATTATCATATAATCCCCTTTGTCATAGATGGGAATAAAATAATATCCATTATTAGGAGCACAGCTAGTCTTCTCTTTCAATATTCCTTGTTTTGTGAATCTAAAAACAACTATTTTAGAAAAGTAAAAAATTTAAATATCAATATTAACTCACAGTTTAACTTGTACTTTGGTAAAATCAATCAGCACATGACTTTTTATAAAACCACCGCAGCCCAAAATATCACTTGAAGAAGATTTTTGCAAATACAAAGAAACGTGTACCAATATTAAAATAAAACCTTTCATGATGTTACTTACAGTACAGTAGTTAATTATAAATATATAATATATTAGACTTCAAAAGGTTTATTACAACAATGAACAAGAAAACAGACTTATCATATTATGTTGACTGTTAGTTTTTGAAGAAATGTTTATATGCAAACTAATTTACACTAATGTTTGTCTGGTTGCATACGTGACGCTCCTTCATTCGTATTCCTAATATTATTTATGTATTTTTCAGTTCAAGAACATAGATAATCTATGGCACAAATTTACTTGTGTCTCGAGCGCGACCCGTGCGGAAACCCGAACAGAGCCGAAGAACGGCGATCATACGTCATAGATATTGTCATTATTACATTCATAACTTCAATAATCATAAGGTTCAGTACTGTACTATGGTTCAGTACGTTTGGTGCGTTAAATGCGTCCACTGTATTTGTTGGTTATTGTATTTTTCTTGTGTCTGTTGTTGTGTTATTTGTTATTATAATTGCACGTAATTTTCATAATAGCCCATGGTATGTATCGCAAATTGTATCGTGCATTTGTGGTTATTTTCTTTCACAGTTTCTCTTGAAAGTAACGTTTTCTTTTTTGCAAGCTTTTAAGTGCCTTTTGATTTAATTTCATGTCTTGCTCATTTAAAAGTGTGGTTAATTCGCTTTTCTTATTAATTTTTACAGATTGACCGAAAAATGAAAGCGTATTAATTAATGTTTATTTCGGTACTGCCGCAACATCTACAGATGGAATGGTGCTCGAAGGTTTCCTTGATTTCGTTTGCGCTTATCTATTCGAGGTATGATATAACAGAAAATTAACTTAAAAAACTAAAGATTTAAAAATAATAGCAACACTTCTTTGCTTAAAACAATCGTCATTTTTATTAGCTTGGTACAGGAGATGGACAATTTATTTTAAATTTTCTTTCAAAGACAGTAATGTAAACTGTTAATGCTTATTAATCTGAGAGTCAGAAGAAAAGAGAAGGATTAACTATTAAACTTTTCAGTATAACACATATTTGTTTAGCTTATTAATGAATGACACATTGTGTGCATCTCTTAGGTATATTAGCAGTCGCCTTTAATATATTATTAATTAAAAGTAGTAATTTATTTTTTTGTCCGTTTCTACAGATTGGCTAACAAATAAGAGAAATTGAAAAGTTCATTTTGGCCATAGCGATGACAACATGGGATGTCTGACTTGGTGTTTTTTCTCGATTTGGCTTGCTTTCCACACATGTCATTCATGGAACCTTATATTCCACAGTTAATTCAGGTAGTAATACATAGTTAAATTAATGTTAATTACTCTATCAATTATTAATCTAGCGTGAAGCAGTGTTAGGCAAAATTAAACTATTAGACATTTAACAATTAATTAATTGTTAAAAGTTATTATTATATGAACAGCGTAGTTGCGTTAAAGTTAAAGTGCAAGTTATGAATAAAGTAACTAGGTATGTAACAAATATACCTAAGAATTTTTTCTTCGTTTAATTAAATTTAATAAGTTCAATTTTTATATAAATAATTTCTTAATTTAAGTTTAATTTTTTCAATTATTTCTTAGTTCAAGTTATTTTTATCAATCAGATATCAATTTAAATTTAACATTGACAATTACATTTTAGTAATCATTCCTAATAATATTTTATTAAGGTTGCATTTTAACACCACCCTCTCCTGAAACATATTGCCTGACAATTTATAACTCTGTGAATTGTGAATTTCACTAGAAATTACAGTGTCTCCCTGTATCAAAGCGAGATAATTGTTCTTTAAGACAAAAAAAGTTAAGTGCAATTGATTTAATTGCAAGATACAGTTAATATAGTTGAATAACTGTAGCAAATGTCTACGTCATTAAGTCATTAATCCTCTTTTAATCTACCTTATACATAATAGGGTATAATATAGAAATTAGTAAAAGAGAACAATCTATTAAATATATGCATTTTAATACAGCACTGGCATTTTTACTATTCATAAGAAAATTACAAAATTATTTCGACAATATTTTGATTATCCAAAGCAATTAAATTCTATATAATTTTTCCCAATCTCTAACAGTAAAAAACCAATTTCATATA